AATTAAAAGATAAAAAAAGTTGTAATAAAATGTAATGAAATAAACTATCAAATAATCTCATTAACCGAAAATCACATCGTGAGGTTTCGGAAGCACTCATTAAGGAATCTTATTGAGTCACGTATTTGTCTGACTGATTCAAAATAATTACTTGAATGCAAAAGAAATCTTTGTTTTCTGTTACGAATTTCCCTGTTGATTGGTGCTACAGTTAAAATATTATTTTGTGTGAATTATCTAATGATAATCCAAAGAAATCATTGCTTACCAATGGTAATGATAATAATAATAATAATAATAATAATAATAATAATAATAATAATGATAATAACGATAACGAATGTTGATAATGAAGATAATAATAATGATAATAACGATAACGAATGTTGATAATGAAGATAATAATAATGATCATAAAAAAATATTTAGAACGTGATATGACTTTTTCTCTGGTAGCACTATCCTGAGTCATATTTTCTGTTTACTAATCTATACTTAATTTAATTACATCCTCAGTTAAATTAAATCCGCATTAGAATAATCCACCAACTTAAAAGGACAATGTCATACGAAACTATATCCACTAAATCCTTTCAAAAAGTATATCACTAGATGTATTCTGATGTCGACAAGGCCCTCTTATATATCTACAATTCAGTTCTCATAGATATGGAGAAATGTTCTAAAAAGAGATGTTGTTGATCAAATGTTGATTATATGATAAAAAGTTACTTGTAAAATTTCCTGGTATTGTTTACTTCCTCATCAGCTGATCTGTAAGTGTAATGCCAAGAGAATGAGCTCTTGTTTAACTTAACTTTAACTCGACGTGTATCTGAAAAAAAAGATCTATTACCATTTGCTTTAGCCTTCTTTCTTCGTCTTTGTTTTTTTCATATGCTAATCTATTTTATTGTTATCAGTGAATAGGTGTGAAATGGCACTCGTTTGCAATGCGTGCAAGATGCTGAAACTAAGGATACGAAACTAAATTTAAGATAAAATCTGAGCAAAAAGGAGTACATCCATTATGAAATATCGGTTTGACTGTAGTTTCTGTCCGATGTATCTAATGTGACGTCAGCTTTATTTCCATTTTCAGATATTTCCTTTACGTCAGGACCGCTGCGTTTCCTCAATATTCTATTGCTTAATGCTCCACAGAAAAAAAAAACTTTTTGTAATCATCAATTAATTTAATGGAAAAGGGAACAAAAAAAGTTTTCTAGATCGTAAGCCAAGCGTGCTCACTGAAGATTGGAATGTCAGTACCTGGACACTCACGGCATCACGCAAAACCCCAGATAATAGTGAGTGAGTGAGAGAGAGAGAGAGAGAGAGAGAGAGAGAGAGAGAGAGAGAGAGAGAGAGAGAGAGAGAGAGAGAGAGAGAGAGAGAGAGTGTGTGTGTGTGTGTGTGTGTGTGTGTGTGTGTGTGTGTGTGTGTGTGTGCGGGCTCAAGTAAGTACAAATTTAATTTTGCGTGTTGTTTCATCTGGTACTATTATGCTGTGGTGTGGAATGTTCTTGTCCATTGTATTATCCGAACATGTTTGATATATTGATAAATTTTACGTTTACCCGCACCTAATTTCAGCAATCCTCGGTTAAAGTTGCACATTCCAGTTTAGACCACTCTGCTTCATCAACCTAGACAGACACGCATGATTCCGACCAGAAGTTTTACAGGCAAATAGTTGTAAACGGCGGTGCTTTCCTGGCTGAACGCTGCTCACAGATACGGCCGGGGTATGTCGCATTGTCTTCCTTTTATGCTGGTGATAAAAAAAAACAGCCAAATACAGAACACCTCTATCGCATCTACAACGGAAAATTAAAACGAACATGATACTTCTTTGTGCTTCCTCTGGATTAACAAGCCGAACAGGTATATCTGGGTATATAACAGATCGAACAAGCTGTTAGGAAGACTTTTGTGTTTAAACTATTAGCATGGCTGAACAGAACATCTCTTTGTGTCTATACTGCTTTGCCAAGATAGGAAGGATATCAGGATGATAGTTCATTAGTAAAAGATAACAAGGAATAGGAAATAAATAAACGATTGATGCTTTCAGGTAATCTGAAACTGTAACATGCATGTCAATACAGAATGAGAGAGTAACTTGATATGATAGGTAGGGAATGAAAGACCTGAATTTCCACTATATTGTTCAAGGATTTGTTAATCTCAGCGAAAAGGCAATATTATCAAACAGTGCGATTCAGAGGTTGCATCAGATTTCTTGCAGGACTCATGGGTGACGTTAGTGCATGTCAAACTTCACATTATACAACTTGCGTTTCCGATATCCTTGAAGACAGTACATGTGCATCGACAATGACTTGCACACTTCTTTCCTTTTTCACACTGGCTTAGGATTTCCAGCCCCCCTCTTCTCTCTCTCTCTCTCTCTCTCTCTCTCTCTCTCTCTCTCTCTCTCTCTCTCTCTCTCTCTCTCTCTCTCTCTCTCTCTCTCTCTCTCCCTCCCTCCACACACGCACGCATGCACGCACGCACGCATGCACGCACACATACACACACACACACACACACACACACACACACACATACATACATATATATATATGTGTGTGTGTGATTATTATTGGTGTAATGATAATTATGATAATGATAAGGATATTGACAATAATATTGATGATAATGAAAATATTAATCATAACACTGATACTACTAATGAAAATTATTTCTGTTATAATAGTAGCAGTATTGGTAATAGTAACAGGAATTATAATAGCGATAATAATGACTATATTGATAATAATAGTAGTGATAATAGTAATAATAGTAGAAATGATAGTTAGTGACGATAAAAATAATGGTAAAAGTATTAGTAATATTAATCAGGGATAATGATAATGATAATAATTATGATAATGATGGTAATAGTAATTACAATAATAATGACGGTGATAATAATTATAGAAATGACAATAATTATGATAATAATAACACTAAAAAGGATCATCATTATCATCCTCATCATCATCACCATCACCATCATCATCATCATCATCACCATCATCATCGTCATCATCATCATCACCATCAACATCACCATCATCATCACCATCATCATCATCACCATCATCATCACCACCATCATCACCATCATCTTCACCACCACCATCATCATCATCATCACCATTATCATCATCACCATCATCATCATCACCATCATCATCATCATCACCATTATCATCATCACCATCATCATCATCATCATCATCATCACCATTATCATCATCACCATCATCATCATCACCATCATCATCATCATCACCATTATCATCATCACCATCATCATCATCATCATCATCATCATCACCATTATCATCATCACCATCATCATCATCATCACCATTATCATCATCACCATCATCATCATCACCATCATCATCATCATCACCATTATCATCATCACCATCATCATCATCACCATCATCATCATCATCATCATCACCATTATCATCATCACCATCATCATCACCATCATCATCATCATCACCATCATCATCATCACCATCATCATCATCATCACCATTATCATCATCACCATCATCATCATCACCATCATCATCATCATCACCATCATCATCATCATCATCACCATTATCATCATCATCATCACCATCATCATCACCACCATCATCTTCACCACCACCATCATCATCATCATCACCATTATCATCATCACCATCATCATCATCACCATCATCATCATCATCACCATTATCATCATCACCATCATCATCATCATCATCATCATCACCATTATCATCATCACCATCATCATCATCACCATCATCATCATCATCACCATTATCATCATCACCATCATCATCATCACCATCATCATCATCACCATCATCATCATCATCACCATTATCATCATCACCATCATCATCATCACCATCATCATCATCATCACCATTATCATCATCACCATCATCATCATCACCATCATCATCATCATCACCATTATCATCATCACCATCATCATCATCATCACCATTATCATCATCACCATCATCATCATCACCATCATCATCATCACCAGCATCATCATCATCATCACCATTATCATCATCACCATCATCATCATCATCATCATCATCATCATCACCATCATCATCATCATCATCATCATCATCATCATCATCATCGTCGTTGCTTCTGTATTATGGCGAATATTATTATTTTACGAATATTATCATTTTTATTTTATTTTATTATTTTATTTTATTATTATTTTGATATTATTTTACATTGTCACCGTTTCTGTGATCTTCATCATCCTTCGTTCCTATTGTCAGTATCAAATTTAGAAGAAAAAAAAAAAATATATTTATTCTTTCTTATTTTATTTTATTATTTTTTTTTTTTTTCATTCTTTTTTTATTATTATTATTTATTCCTTTTCTTCACATCCATCCTTTACAGCATTAGCATTCACACTTACCCTATTTATTAAAATCTCCTTCATTCATATATAGCCATCAAAGCTATTTTATTCTATAATAAAAAAAATATATGTATACAAAAAAGTATATAATATAAAACGAAAACATCATCACAGAAAAAAAAAATGTAATTAACTCCAACTCGAATGCGTATTGCTATTGATAACGTATTTTATTTATTAATTATTATTTTATTTATTACTTATTTTATTTTATTTTTTATTTTCATTTTATCAAATTTCTTTATTTATTCTTCACATCTATTCTTTTCAGCATTAGCATTCATACTTACCCTATTTATTAAAATCTTCCTTAAGTTCATACGCATAACCATTAAAGTTATTTTATCCTACAATAAAAAAATAAATATATTAAAAATATATAATATAAAACGAAAACATCATCACAAAAAAAAATAATAACTCCAACTCGAATGCATATTGTTATTGATGACGTCACTGGAGAAATTTCTGCAACAGGAAGCAAGATTTTTTGAATAATTTTTTTTTTCCCACGATGGCTGAGTCGTTGATGGGAAGCAGGTAATTTGGACTCGTTTTTTAGGTGAAAGAACTAATCAAGAAGAGAACTGCGAGTTGTGAGAAAGATTTATTTAGAGGAAAATAGGTGATATTTAGTGTTTTTTTCGTGATTTCGTTATTATTATTATTATTATTATTATTATTATTTTTGTTTCTTTTGTTTCTCCTCTTTCTTTTCATCTGCTTCTCCTACTTTACCTATTGCGTCTTTGTGTGCTCTTTCTCCACTTCATTTTTGTATTTTATTTGCGTACTGAGACGTGTGGGGCGTCAAAAGCTAATCGTACCCTCCCCCCCCCATGGCGCAAGCTTTTGTGATGAATATTAACCATTTCTTAAGATTATATATTAATTCTTTTTAATTCTACTATTTACTTCTCATCATCAGGGCATAGTGACCTTTTGATTATGGGATAAGTAAAACCTAGAAGGTAATTGTTTAAGATAAAATTAATATTTACAAAATTAATGAGTCAGATGAATAAAAGAATTCATTCAAGATTTAATTAGAAGAAAACGAAGAAAAAAAAGAAAGAAATGTATCTGTTGTCATCACCGCACAGAAGCATTAAAAAAAAAAAAAAAGACAAATTGGTTCATCATCTTATTTATTAACTGGTTAATTATAAAAAAGAGCTTTTAATTATAAAAAGAAGAGCATTATAAAAAGAAGGTAGTGCGCGGACCGATTCCTAATTTAACAGTAGATTACCGGGAAGATTAACATTAATTTAGCAAGTTAGAAATTTCTGATATTCCTTTATGCTGACTGACCTTAAACAAATGTCATACTGATTACATTTAG